CACATTGCATGGAGAGAGGGGAAAGTCTCTGAACAACGAGACTCGTATTTTCTGTGTTTGTTTTCTACTTCCATCCACATTACAAAGTCCTGTGAAGCTCACATTGAAGTCATTTTGTTGCATCGTAGTGGTAATTTCTTGGTCCTTTTCCCAAGTGCTTACCTGGAAAAGAAGGAGTATGCTGCCAAAGTTGGAGCGTTTGCCAGTAATGATGCCACTAATGGCATTAAATCCAATTTCTCATGTAGCCCCTGCATCAGCAAAACTTGAAATCTCCCCTCAAACTGTGCATTGAAATGACTCCTGTTTAGAACATCTTGCTGTGCTCAGTGGTTTTCTTGAAAGCTCCTTCACACACACTGGAACTTCTTTTATTCAATTACACTGGTGCCAAAACATTTTCCAAGAGAGTGCTTTCATTACATTTTAAGTAATCTTCCTTTATTTTAATGCAGGAACGTGGATTCCAGGACCATACGTATCAGTGGCCCTAGCCCAGCAGCCCTGTCTCCTCACAGGGTCCTGGGAGCCCAAAACTGAGTACAGATCTGGTGCCTTTAAGCTCACAGGCTCCTGTGCTGAGGAAGGAACCAGCCCCCTCCTCGTGGTACAGAGCTGCATTTCCATGCTGGATCCAATGGCTGGCACTGAGCAGATGGCTTCTGCAGGGCTGGCAGGGAGTTGTGCTCTTTGTTTCTTCTTCCTGCAGCAGTCTGCTTGCGTGGCAAGGAGGGAAAATGTATTTTCTCATTATAGACGAAGGTGCTGCAGCACCTCTGGGGTTTGAAGCAGAGATGCAGCAGATCTGAGCTGGTGGCTTTGCTCCGTGCTGCAGGTCTGTTCTTTGCAAAAGCTGTGCCCAGGCATCGCAGCACATGCACTATAAATATCTGGTGGTTTGTGCTGTTACTGTAAAAAGCATAAATGGTTTCATTAGTCCTCATGAAACATTGAGCCACCGTGCAAAGAATTAGAGTGAGGTGTCAGTGCCTGACCTGGTGTTTCATTGCTGCAAACCAGACGTGCGGAGCTGTTGTTGGCCATGCAGAACGGCACCTTGCAAGGTGGACGTATCATAAATGCAGATCCTATTGTACGTTGCAGAAATGCAAATTGTGGCTCATGCTTGTCGGTGCTTTTTTAAGCACCCTGCCTTGCTGCACGCAGGTTATGGAAGCTGAACTTGGGGAGGTTTGGCGGGGGTGGAGGGGCTGTGCTCTGCAGCCAGGTATGGTCAGGAGGACATAGTGCCTCACATGGCAAGGTTAGTGAGAAGGAATTTAGGGAAGCTCTAACTCCTGTCCTCCAGGTGCATTTTAGGTGATGAAATGATCACGTTCTGGTCATGATTCAGTGCATTTTTTAAAAAAGGTAGGTTCTTGACAGGTTGAATGCTGTGAAATTAGTTGCAGGTGAAACAAAACCCAGCAAAATTCACCTCTGACATCCACCTCGTGTTTCAAGATGCAGCTAGGAGTTCTTAACTGCATGGACCAGCTTAAAAAGCCCATGATGCTCTGTGTGGAGGTGACAGAAAGACACGAACATTACCAGCAGGGTGAAATGTGACGGTGCTGTTGTTTTCCTATGGGCTGTACTTTCCTGCCTGGAAGAAAAACATGTTTGGCTTTAAAAAGGGAACTTTGTGCAATTAATCATTTTCTGTGGCGATGTGCTTGTTTTGTTGTGCTCAGTAGCCATTGTCACAGGTCAGCAAGCTCAATATTAATCATTATTTTTAATTGTAGGTGGAGTCTTTGTCCTGTTAGGATTTTTAATTAGGTTTTATGGATGCAAATTCAGGACCTCTTTGGAGTGTGTGTCCCTAGTGTTACACTGGTTGTGTCCTGTCCTTCCTTCTGGCCCTGGCCTTTGTTGCAGCTTTTTGATGGCAAATAGACTTGTGCAAGTCTATTCTTTTTGTTCCTCTTTATTTGTGAATTCCTGTCCCAGTCTCTCAGGATTTGCTGCATTGCATGAGTTCCCAGCAGCCCACAGAACACGGCAATCTTTGGCTGCTGTTGAGCCATTTCTCCTCCATAGCCTGAATGCAGGTGACTTCAACCTCTGGGCTTGCTGCCAGCCCCAGGGTGGCGTTTTCCTAGATGCAAGGATTAGAAAACGAATTTATTTGAGAGAAGTCGTGGAGATGATCCTCACAGCAGTTGCAATAGCCATTCCAGATTGCGCTGATATTGAATCCAGAATGAAGAGACCAAAGCGCTGGCCTCATCAGGAGAGGAGGAAGGTGAGCTCTTCAGCCGCAAGCACACTAGCTTTTATTTTTCCTGCCTCCTGGGCCCCACAAATGAGCATGAAGCGAGCATTCCTGCAGGCGATGGAGCAGATGATGGCTGAACTGGAGGTGTTAAGATTCAGTCGAAGGAAGCTGCACAGTTTTGGGAACAGGGCTCATTTCTGAGCACCGTTGCTGTCGGCATCACCTGGCAAATTCAGTTGCGGTGCGAACTCTCGGCTCCCACGATAGGCATCTCTTTGTGCAGAAGTGCTGTAGGAGGCTCCGGGTCCAGGTCTGCCTGTGCCGAGCCGTTGGATGTGCAGGCGGGTGCTCCGCTCGCACACAGGAGCGCATTGAGCTCGTTTCCTTCCAAGCCTTGAGCCCCAGCCAGTACAAGCTTTGGTCTCCCCAAGAATTTCAGGAATGCTGTTACTGCGTTTTTCCGCTCGGCGCTGGAATCAACGGCTTCGAGAAGTGGAGTGATGCGAACAGAGCGTAATTTCAGCGCAGCAGTTGTAACTCATTCTGTGGTTTCCTAAGCTGAAGTAGAATATTCTGCCCTGCCGTCGCAGATATGTAGATTAGACATGCATAAATCGAATTAATAGCACTTTTTTTTTTAATATAGCCTGATAGTTCTGTTAAAGGAACATGGCGAGCCAAACAAAAATGCATGAGGTTGTGTCAAGTTAAACACCAGACATGCCTTCACATACTTCTGGCCCTTCGCCGGCATGCCTGCGCCATAGAGAAAGCAGCTTTCACAAGGCAGAGAGCTTTCTCATTTATGTGAGCAATAAAGAAAACGACTGAAAGAGTGGCATTACGGGCTGTGAGTTCTGTGGGCGTTCGTACTGCAGCGTGTAGCGTGGTCTGACGCATGGATGGACAAAAAGTCACAGAGCTCGTTCCTCATAATGGGGATAATGGGGAGATAAACCAGGAGGACTGGTGCAGTTCCCCACACCACATTCAAAATGTTTCACCCTGCACAAAGAGAAACAGGTGAAACCTTCCTGCTGGGATGCAAGGGGTCAGGGAACGTGTTGATGTCCAACGTGACTTCAGAAGGGTTTTGTGGCTCGGCTCCCCGTGCAGCACCTCAGGAAGGAGGCAGGCGCTCGCTGGGCTGCTTGGGTGAAACAGCTGGAAGGGGACAGGTGGTTCTTCTGGTAATGCTGAAATAGTACTAATGTGAAAATGCTTGTTTGGGGAAAGTGAATGCCTGGGATTTAAGCACCAGGATGTGGTTTTGTTCACAGCTGAGCACAGGGAGGGCTTCAGGGTGACAGTGAGGATGCTGGGGAAAAGGCAGAAAACTTAAGTGTGTGTAACCTGCAAAGCTTGGAAGCCCACGTATGGGAAGGCTTATTAGTTTCCTGTGTGGAATCAGCCTCTCTGCAAGCCTGAGCATCAGCTGCTCGTTTGGCAGGTTTCTGCCGTTGCAGAACTTGTTTTAGTCAACTGGTGGAAATTCATATGCAACAGCTTGAGCCAAAACAAATCCGTGCCTTCAAAGAAGGGGGAAATTCCATCGTTATTCTGTTAGCAAGCCTTCGGTTTGAGATGTAACACCGCGTGTGATGAGGGATGCTTGAGACCTGGCTGCTCCACGGGCCCGCGCTGTGCTGCATCCCACTGGCGGGAAGGCTGGGTGCTCATCCGGGAATGGGAGCATCGCATGGATGCAGGGCTGATGGCATCGAGTGCCTTTCAGAAGGATTTCCTCTCACTTGGCCTATTTTTGGGGGTTTTAGTTGCAAAGTAAAACCTGCAAAGGTCATTTGAGAAGTCGGGGATTATAGATGTAAAGCCCTTTTAATCTTTTCCAATAAATAGCTGAGTGGGAAATAAATCTGTTGGGAGCTCTGGGCTGAACCCTAATATTGAGCCTTAGTACAAAATGTATTTGTAATTGTGATTCAACGTACAGACACAGCTCCTAGAAATTACCCTGTGTATAATTGCCTTAAGTACGTTTGGCTTAGAAGTAAAGGGGAACAATTACCAAAACAGGTGTAATAAATGAAGCATTAATTGTACCTGGCAGCTGGGCCGTTTCAGTCACCATGAGCCAGACTACTGAAGTGATTTAGGCACAGCTGCAAACACCAGTTTTCAATTAAGCTGCTTTGAGATGCAGCTCTTGAAGTTTCCCAGTGGTGATTGTGCTCAGGGATGGCTCTCTGCATTAGATGTCTTGGTAAGGTGGAGTTTTAATGAAAGCTTTGCATTGTAAAGCCTTAAAGCATTTAGATTTGGGAAAGCATCAGCGACAAATTGAACCGATGGTGTCTGAAATACTGAAGATCCTATGGGTTATGTCTGCACGATGCGTGACATTGTCTAAAACCTGGGTAGCCTTCAAAGTGTTTTCCCCCTAATTCCATATGTAATTAAAAAGCAGCTAGCTCATTAGAAGTTAAGTCCTGTTGGAGCAGTATACTTTTACATCCATTTAAATAATAAAGTGTAGCCTTAACGCAGAATGTAATAACGTCAAATATTAAATTTCTCGTGTAGCTGATGCTTCACTTTTCAACAGTGTTTGTCTAACCTTTCTGAGTCCTGAACTGAATGTGGTCCCCAGAAGCTCATCCTGTTATTCTGTAGCTCGTTCAACTCCCTGTGTTTTTTATTAATTTCTTACCGTATTGCAGCAGTAGCAAAACTCTGGAGGTGCGTTGGTAGTGATGTGCACATCCATAAGGAAAAGTGGCAGCTTTTCAGATGCAGTGATGCTGTCTCATTCTCTTCACAGGCTTTTGGAAATGCAAAGACAGCGCATAACAACAACTCGAGTCGTTTTGGCAAGTTTATCCAAGTGAACTACCAGGAGACGGGCACTGTGCGAGGGTGAGTGGCAGTGGGATCCACAGCCTGCGTTTTTACTGTATGTAAATGTTATGCAAAGGTTGGTTTATCTGCGCTGCACATCAAAGCATGGATACACCTGAGAATGGATTTAAGCCAGTTCAGTTCTCATTAATCATAACGTCAACTTTATAATTAAGCCAAAATGTGATTTTTTCCTCTTAAGAGAGCAAGCAAGGGCAATGTTTTAGGGCCGTGAGGATGGGTCACGGGGCCAGAGTGTGTGATGGGCACAGAGAGCCCTGCAGGCTGGCTTTGCTCAGACTCAGAAATAGAAAGCCAAAGGGAATTTAATTTTGCAGATGCCTGCTAGCTGTTACAGAGAAGATGGAGCCAGATGATTTAGCACTGCTGATTCCTCACACGCTTCCATCCATACCCTGAAGTGTCTCTTGAAGCCAGCCCTTGACCACTTAGGGCACCCCGTGCCCCAGGCCGCTGTTAGGAGGCGCTTGTCTCCGCTCTGCTGCCACAGGGTCTGTTTCCAGCCTCACTGCCTGCTTCCACAGCTCCCGGTGAGCTCAGCTTGGTGATGGCCACAGCTGGGTGAAGGCTTCTGGGGAACACATCTGGACCTGGATTTCTCTTGGGATTCTTCAGATGACATCATGCCGTAGCCCAGTGTCTCACTCCAGCCCGAAGGGAGCAGGGCTACCTTAACCCTGCTTTTTGGCTGGGTAATTAGCTCAGCTGGAAAAGCAGAGAGTAGAGTGGCATTCCAGGGGCTTATAATTTCTGCAGCTAGCTAAGAGATCTCTTGCTGGGACTTTGTTGTTAATTTAGAGAATTGCTTTTACATTTTTCCTTCCCTATTTTCCACCAGAACAGTGTTGCACAAATGGGTACCATTAATTTTTCAAATGAGCCTGGGTACTCTGTGTTCTTTGCAGTCAGGCAGCTGTTTTTTCATCCAACTTTTATCTGCTGCTCTTTTTTTTTTTTTCCCCTTCTATTATTAATTCTGGTGAATAGTTCTCTTAAAAGGATAAGCTTCTCTTCTTTTTTCATACCTACTTAAACACAGGGTGATAGAATCCAGCAGATGCCCTAACAACCTTTACCTTGACGTGCTGGCCAGCTCTGTGATAGTGCCCTTTATGGTTTATTGGCACTTACCTGCAAATAACGTTGCATTTGTGTGCAGTAGTTCTGAACATGAGAGAAATTTTTTCTTTAACAAACTCATTTCTTTGGTCTTCGTTACGTGATGGGACGAGAGTGTGCACGGCCCCAACCACAGTGAGAAGACATTACAAAAATAACTCAGCTGTTCCCTGCATACCAGAGTGAGTTTTATTCTCCATTGTCTTACAAGGCAGATCAAAAGTTCTGTGATTTGTCTTTTTAATTTTTATTTTTAAATTTAGCGTAGCTTTTAAGCACACTTTTTATTTTTTTTAAGCCTGTTCAAATCATTTACGTCCCCATTTTGTGCATATGATTTTCTTGGTTAATGTGAAGTATAATTTGCAGGCTCGGATCAGAATTCTGCTCCGTTCGTGGGCTGAAAATAGCAGTTGGGTATTTGGTTACCGACTGTATGCAGATAATGACCCAAACTCAAAGCGAATTTCAGCTTAAGAGGTGTAATAGCCAAGAGATTTAGGAGCAGCCAACCCCACCCCACGAAATGAAGGCTTTGAAGATATGTTGGAAATCAGTGGAGTATGAGCAAAGGCTTCATTTAAGTGCATTCCCATAAGGCTTTATGAATTTATTATGTCCTGTTCAGAGATAAGTGAGCAGTGGAGGAAGGGCTTTGCAACACGTTGAGTCCTCCTAAGATGATCAAAAGCTTCCACATCTTACGTGCTCCTTAAAATTGCAGAAGAGCCAGATGGGAGAGATTTTAATTAAAAGCAACAGTGCACTGCCATAATGTTAAATTTGTGCAGCAGCACGGGGCTGCGTCACAGGTACTGTGAGGATGGTGGGTATTTTGCATGGTGGGATTTGTATGTGAAATCCATGCTCAAGGTTTTGATGATATTGGCTGCTATACCAGGGACAGGTTCTGTAGCATGATTAAGTGAGTACTTTGCATGAGGTACTCTCAACATTTCTTTACTGTTAAGACTGTGGGTAATAATAAGGTAGTTTCTACATAATTGACACCAGTAAATAGAAAGAGAACATTTGGGGGTGTTTACTTTTTTGTATTTCAATTTGTTTTCCTTTTCACTGTCCTATTAGAACAGCGAACATACTTATATTCATTTATCACCTTCTCACTAAGCAAAGAACATCCTGCTAGAGCAGCATTCTCCTTACATCTACCCTGCTCTAAGTAGTGGGTTGGGCCAGATGACCTCCAGAGGACCTCTCCAACCTAAATTATTGCATGCAACTGAGTTTTTTGGGTCTATAATAAGAGCAGAAATCACAGGGGAAGGGATTATGTGTCAAGCGTGGTCGACTAGATCTGGGTTGTCCTGCAGCTGTGTGCCAAGCTGCTGCCCAGTGCTGTGCCGGGACCCAGGCCGTGCTGGTGCCTCACTCACTGCCCCATCTCTTCATTGAGTCTTCAGGGAGATTCATGCCTTGGCTTGGGAAGTTGTTAAACCAGGAACTTAAGGTTAGACAGAGAGGAATATCCATAGCTGTCCTCAGCTTCCTCACAGGGAATAAATAAAAGAGCTTCCTGGTGCACATCACGTGCCGGGATAATGGTGCTTGCTGCAGCCCGCCTGCCTTTCTTTACTCCTCCTGTGCAGCAGAGGAGTCTTGAAGTGTGTGGATGTGCCAGTTCCTGCAGCCTCTCCTAAGCACTGCCCCAAGAGTCAGCCCAAAACCCTGCGGGCACGGCCAGGTTGGTTATTTTTTGGTGAAGGTAGAGGAGAATCACTGAGAATTGCCCCCAGGAGAATTGCTCCTGGATAATGCCTGGCTCTGTCTCCCATCTGAGGGTTATGCAGGGCACCATGCTGTCCCATCGCATCCAGAGCTCCTTGGGGGTGCAGCTCGCACGTGGCTGCTGTCAGTGCCACATCACTGTGGGTCAGTGGCTGGAAAGGCCCAGCCTCTGCCTCTGTGTGTCAAGTTACATCATCAACATTGGCAATTATAGCTCTAGCTTCCACGTCCCTATCATTACTGGTTAGCACTGAATGGAAAAAAAAAAAAACAGAAAACAACAACAACAACAACAAAAAACAACAACAAAAAAAACAACAGCAACAAACATGTCAAAGCTTGTTTTAGCTAGTGAAGTTATTAATATATACATGAAATTAACTCGTCAGGGAGGCTGTTAGGATAAAATGTCAACGCCAGTAAGAAGCTTCTGCAGTTCTCTGGGTTTTGACCATATCCACAAGTTAATAACCCAAAGCTTTTGTAGCAAAGTGGCTGCTGGAGAAGAGGGGGTGATAATTTGGGCGTGGAATCCATGGCTAAATCTTAGCTTGCAAACTTGTGCACCCAGGTGCGTTTCTGGTTGAAGGAGGGTTTGTGCACAAATCTCAGTCTGCAAGCAATTTTATTTTGCTGGGTTTGAATTAAATAGGTATCAGAGATTCTTAGTTTCTGTCAAAATTCCCCCCTGCACTCCCTGCCCATAGGCTAACTCATCTGAGATCATGTTTTTCATATCCAAGTTAGTTTTGGCTTTGTATCAAACCAAAAAACCTCAAAAGCCAAACATAATATTGGGCTTGTTCTGCCTAGGAAGAAATTTATATAACTAAGTGAAACAAGGCTGAAGCTTTTTTGGTGTACTAAAACTGCAAAGTCCCAGTAAAGCTGTGTTCATTTAAGTTGAATATTGGGTCAATGAATAATGCTTTTATTTCTTCTTCCAGAGCTTATGTTGAAAAGTATCTGCTGGAAAAGTCCAGGCTCGTCTACCAGGAGCACAACGAACGGTAGGTGCCTGTGTTTCACTGGGTTCTGCCTCCCGGATGTGCTGATAGTGCAGCACAGATGGCTCCAGTCCCTGCCTGGGCTGGCAGGGGGATGGGGATTTTCATGCTTCTGACTGCGTGCTTCACAGATAAAGCCTGTATTTACGTTGTGTGCCATGTTGGCTTGGAGGGGAAAACAGAAACTCTGACAGCTTTGCTTGGATGTGCTGCACCAGCAAGCAAGCATGCAGGGTGCTCTGCTGATGGGCTGCGAGGCTCCACCTGTGGGATGTTCTGCATTTCAATGTTGTGTGGACTTAAAGGGTAGAAGCAGTCCTCATATCACAGAATCACGGGATGATTGAGGCTGGGAGGGACTCCTGGGGGCTGTATGATCCGACCCCTGCTCGAGCAGGGACTCCTCAAGTGTTGCCCAGGTCCGTGCCCAGATGGATTTTAACATCTCCATGATTGGAGATTCCACACCCAAAAAAGGAGTCCTGATCACATCAAATGCTTAACTTTTGCCTGTAACAAATCAAAATCATACAAACTCACAACAAGACCTGCATTGAATCTTCACCAAACTCTCCTGGTTTGGTCATCTGTGGGACTCGATCCTCCTTTATGACCAGGAGATGGAGGAGGCTGCACCTGGGTTAGTTGGTAGCACACTGGGTGATGGGGAAGGTGCATCAGAAGCTGCAGGCTCAAAAACAAAATGCTCCTCATTGCACTTTTTACTGTTACTACTTTTATTATTTTTTTATTATATAGAATTTTATGTATTTCATTCATAATTTTGTACTGAAGTCTCCCTAACTTCAGATTTTATTTCTTAAGACACTGCCTGGCTATAGAAGACTGTTTTTGCCATCTTGCTGCCTGTTTAGGGAGGAATGCAGTGCCCAGGGAAAAGAGAAGTCATTATTTTATTAACAGTCCTTGACTTATATTTTCCATTGTCTGTATGATTAATGCCATACCATTTGTATTCTTACACAGCTTGTCAACTACTTAGTATCTAATTTGGGAAAGAATATGATATTTTAATTCTATTTTACAGCTCTTGAAAACATCAGAAGGGCTTTTAGAAAAAGCTAAGATTATATAGACGACAAATTTAAGCAAACTGTTGCTTCCTAATATTAGTTGTTATTTCCTCTTCAATGGTAACTATTCTGACTGCAACAAATTGGCTGCTTCTAACTTTCCATCACCTGTTGTATTTCAATTTCTGGCACTTCTGCGTTTCTCTTTTGGGAATAGATGCTGTGTGAGAAGTTTTCTCTAATGTTGATGGAGCGTTCCCAAAGTGAGATGGCACGGACTGCCTCAGACTTGACAAATACACTGTTAGGTGCTGTGATAATTAAGCTTGGTTCCTCTTGGAATCAACCACAGTTTTGGTTTTAGAAATACTGCTATGCTGTTAGTATGAAATCCATGTCATGGTTGTTTTGAAGCAAAACAGATGAGTATTGCATGGAATAGTTTTATTATTCAAGTATTTGGAATATTTGAGCAGAAGTAAAAATTGAAGGTTTTCCATGGAATTGTAGAACCATAGAATGGCTTCTGTTGGCAGGGGCCTTAAAGCCCTTCCAGCTCCAGCTGTCCTGCTGTGGGCTGGTTGGTTGCCCTCAGCAGATCAGGCTGCCCAGGGCCCCATCCAGCCTGCTGGTGAGAGCCTCCAGGGATGGGGCACCCACAGCCCTGCGCAACCTGAGTGAGGAATTTACACCTAATAGCTGACCTAGATCCCCCCTCTATTAGTTTAAAACCGTTCCCCCTTGTCTTATCACTACCAGACCATGAAAAGTCAATGTTCCTCCAGCTTATAAGCTCCCCTCAAGTCCTGGAAGGCCGCACTGAGGTCTCCCCGCAGCCTTCTCTTGCCCAGGCTGAACACCCCCAGCTCCTCAGCCATCTCCATACAGAGGTGCTGCAGCCCTGGCAGCATCTCCGTGCCTCCTCTGCCCCGCTCCAGCAGCTCCGCACCCTTCCTGCGCTGGGGGCCCCAGGCCTGGGCGCAGCACCGCAGCTGGGGCCTCACGAGGGCAGAGCAGAGGGGACGGTCCCCTCCCTGCCGCTGCCACCCCTCTGTTGGTGCGGCCCAGGATGCCGGTGGCTTTCCGGCCCCCGATGGACGCTGCTGCCTCGTCTGTGGCTTTCATCCACCAGAGCCACCGAGTCCTTCTCCGCAGCGCTGCTCTCGTGAGACCTTCTCCCATCTGTGCTCACAGCTGGGATTGTGAAGAACCCCTCACCAAGTTCAGTTCCATCTGCGCACTGGCTTTCCCTGATCACAGCAGCATCCCTGTACTCTTTCCAGACCAGCCATCCCTGCTTGCGCTGCCTGTATATTTCCTTCCTGTCCCTCAGCCTGACCAGCAGGTCCTTGTTCAGCTGTGTTGGTAATGATCTTCTCTGTGAGCACCAGGTCTGGTATCACTTCTCTGGTCGGTCTGTCTAATGCCTGAACCAGGAGTTTGTTGTCGATGGACTCCAGGAGTCCCCTGGAACAGCTCACTGTGTTGCCTTCCCAGCAGATCCCCAGGTGGCTGAAAGTCCCCATCAGGATGAGCGCCTGCGACTATTGCTGCAGCTGAAGCAGGGAAGCCTTGTCAGCAGGCTCCTCTTGTTCTGACAGTCTGTGTAGACTCTGAACACCAGATGTCCTTTATTGATCTGGTCCGTAATTTCAACCCGTAACCTCTCAAACTGATGATGGCCATTTTCAGAGGCAGCTCATTGCTGTCCATCCACTTTTTAACATTGAGAGCAGCTCCCCTGCCCCTCCTCCCCTTCCTATCTCTTCTGCAAAGCTTGCAGCTCTCTATCATAGTATTCCAGTTGCACGATTTGTCTCGCCATGTTTCCTTGATAGCACTTAGGTCATAGTTTCCTAATTGCAGTATGGCTTTCATCTCCTCCTGCTTGTTTCCCATGCTGCATGCATTGGTATGGAGGCACTTCGGCTGGGCTATCAGCTGCATTATCCTGGAGGGGCTGTTTTTCTATTCTGTCACACAGAACTGCAGCTGCCAATGTATTACTTACTTTAGTGGCAATGAATTATTTTTAAAAAGTAAAAAATCCTGCACTGCAAATGAGCTTTCTAATTAGTATATAGGCCTTGCATGTGTTTCTGAAGGAAAACACAACGATGTCAGCCAGGAGTTCCTGAAATCCCTTCCTGGAGGTGTGCATCCGTGGATAAAGAGGAGGATCTAGCTTTCCGTTACTTGGTTTAAGCTCTTGCATCACTGCAAAGTGCTCTCAGGCCATTTCTATACCACTCTCAGTATTAAGCAGTCTAGTTGTTGCACAAGGCCCTAATTTTTATTTATCTGATGAATCTACAAAAAACTTCATCTCCTGCATCAGTGTGAGATCAGACCGATACAGAACAGTGACAGACCGAGCTGTCTCTCGCTCGGAAGGCTTTGGTGACACGGGACTCAGTGACTCTTTTCCAGATTCGTGTCCTTTTTAGCTTCATATTTTGTTGTTTCATCCCCTGGAATTCTAACTGCATTCAAAGTTGCCCTAATAGCTAAAAACCATGGGACCATGGAAAGAGAACAAACCCAGAAGTGGACGTGATAAACCCTGCTTATGTGCTGAAAGTGTACTTGCAGGTTTGAGCTGGGAAGCTGGAATGTGAAGCTACGAGACTTATATGTGTTTCTCTGTTCAATGCTGCAGTCTGTTTTCAAGTTTAACATCCTTTTCTTTGTCACCAGGAACTACCATGTATTTTATTACCTCCTGGCAGGAGCGAGCGAGGAAGAGAGATCAGCGTTTCATCTTAAGCAGCCTGAGGAGTACCATTACCTCAACCAGGTGGGATTACTCTACTGGTGGCACCTGGCAACATCTTGCCTTTTCCACCACTGATAAGCATCAGTGTGTGCAGTGATAAATATGGGTCATTTCAGTGCTCTATAGGCAGCAGTCCGTCACTGTAAATTAGTCTGCATTGGCAACCTGAACACTTCTTAGTATGAAAAGAAATCAGTGTTGCCCATTTTCTGTCCCCTAAGTGGAGTTATGTTGGATAGACAACAGAAGCCACAAGCCAAACAAGGGAGGAACAGTAGTGATCTACCTTTGTGTGAATGTTTAGGCATTAATGTGTGGCTGCTGAGAAGAAGAAAAGAAAAATGTGTGATGCCATTCAGGATGTAGTCCTAATTGTGTCTCTTTATGGCTGGCTGTCAGCACGAGTCTTCACATTTAACAGTAAAAAAGTTTAATGTAAATGAAAACACAGAAACCACTGAAAATGTGGGGATTCAGAACATGTGAGATACCATCAGTGCCAATTCAGTTCATACTTCAGGAGATCTAATTTGCTTCATGCTTAAGATGCAGCTGTGTGTTGATACTTGTAAACAGAGAATTTACAGGTTTTTGCTCAAAAAAATAAAATCAGTGGAGTAGGATGAGATGGAGCATAGTTCTATGTTGATTTTAACTGCAATTGCAATTTTCTTGGCCTGAAATGCCAAAAGCCATAAAGAGAAATTTAACGTGCGAGTTGGAGAGCAGCTCACATGCACTGTGCAGCACAAACAGCCTTTGGTCTTTGTAGAAATATAATTTAACTCTGTAATATTCTGTAAATCACGCGGGGCTCTTTAAAAATGTTTAAAGTGGGCTTTCAAAGCCAAAATATAGCGTGCTATTAATGACTGCCACCCACTTGCAGCAGGACTGGGAAATTCACACGAGTGAGGAGCATGCTAGGAGCTTCAGCTCTGTTTAGCTTCTGCTCTTTTGGTGCCTCCTGCATCCGTGAGCAGCGCAGAGGTTGCAGAACGTGCTGTGCTCCCTCCCACCATCTGTGCTGCAGTTCTGCAGCTCCAGAGCTCCAGGATGATTTGAATGGAATGTTTTGTCAAGCACAGATTTTGTTGGGCAATCTGATAGTTCTCTGTTAGCCTCAAACATTGCCTTTAATTACAGTCTTTCCTTTTGCTCAATAGTATCTTAGCGCTTTGGGTCATTGATATTTAAATTAAATAATGAAATTATGCTGCTGTAGGCAAGTAGGCCACAGAAGAATGCAGAGGTTCATCTAGTGGGTGATGGAAGCAGACTCTGGACTCACCTGACCACAGTGTATGGAGAGCAATGACATCTCAGTGTTCTGATTATAATCATTTCTCTGCGCTTAGTGTTTGTGGTAAGCCAATGAGTGCTGACAGCTATGGAATAGTGGCTCCTTGAGGTGATTGCCTGGCTTCCTAACAGTGCAGCAACAGCCTTCTCGTGTCCTGTAGGCAAAGGACAAAAGGGAAAATGAGGAGGAAGAAGAAGAAAGTCGTAGTGGAAAAATGGGCAAAGAAACTGTGAGCATAGAAGGGGAAAGCACTAAACTGAGGCTTGAGCATTCACAGTAACTTCTTCAGTGCATCCCAGAGAAATCTCAGCCTTTTAAAATGGAAAGAGAACAAACCCAGAAGTGAACATAAATATTTAACTAGAATTAAACACTAAAATTTAAAAGCTATGCAATACTGAGCCAGGCCCCATCACTGACCCACTGGGTCCTTGAGTTATTTTGTTTCTCCCAGGTTCCTCAATTCACATTGTTATGCAAAATAAAAGTGTATTTTGCATTGCAGATGAGGAATAATCTATTCAGGTACTTCAACAAAATGCTCTGTTGATTGTAAGTGCAGGGAGCAGGTTGGAAAAAAACCAGTTTCTTTCTAAAAGCTAATTTTCTTAAAATATCTGCTAGGCTTTTTTAGAACATCCCCCTCCCATCAGTGATTGGAGTCATCGAGCAACTCGCTGAATGATTTCTGTGCTGTACGTTCATATTTATCCATGCTGAAGTTAGTAATTTGCAGGATCAGATCCTTGTTTTAATGGAATCCACAGCCCCAGTGCCACCTCTGTGTTCCTTGCAGGAGCTCTGAGTCCTGAGCCTGGATGAGTCCTCTCAAGTCTTCACTGTTTGACTGGAAAATGACAGGAACTCAGGAGAAGCTGGTGCTTTTTAGTGAAACAATCACAGTTTTGCAGCGTGTGTGTGTGTGTCCGGAGCAAAAGTTGAGAGCAGAAACAGAAATCAGTGCAACTCTGCATAAATGGCTCTTTGGCTGTAGGTAAAGCAAAGGTTTTTCCAACCAATTCGCTTCAATTCATTTAGCTCAGAGCTTGGGAAACCTCCACTTGAAAACACTGCAGAGAAATCAGAGCATCACAGATGTGAAATAGTTATAAATCTCACTTGATGTTGATAAAACAGATCAGGAATGACTATGCAGAATAATAGTTCTTTTATCTGGGAGGTCGATATCACTTCCCTTTCTGAAGAGCTGGTGGTGGGAGTCGTGTTGGGTCTGAATGCTACTTACCTGGGTCTGCCTTGCTTTCAGATGACAAAGAAACCCCTCAGACAGAGCTGGGATGAGTATTGCTATGACTCTGAGCCGGTCAGTACGAGTGCCTGTGTCCTCGGGGCTGTGCAGGGCTGCTCCTCTTGCTGCCTTTTTGGCGAGGCACGCTGGGACATGGGCAGAGATGAATGTTAAGCTGTTGCTGATCCTCTCCCCTGCCCTGCATTGGTGTTGCTTGTGTGTTAGCTGGTGGCAATACGGATACCCTTTCTGTTATCCTTTTTTGCTTATTTCTGTCTGGAAAGCTTCAGCAGTTTGGTTTGGATATGGTCATCTAGTTCTTTGCAAATAGTAGCTCCTTCTTGATGTACAATACAGATTGTTTTGTGTAAATTGGCTGCTGCGGAGTGATTTGTGAGGCAGCAGCTTTGTGGAAATTGAAATGGCTGCCTGATAAAACTGCAAATCAGGATCTGGAAGCACTAAGAGCTGGCTGGTTTCACATCAGCTTGTTGTGGTTGTAGCAGTGTATCTGCCATCCAACTTCCAGGAAAAAAGAAGACAAAACCAAACCTGCCCCGTCAGCCATCTGCGAGACAATCAGATCCTCCTATTGCTCAGAATGCAAACAATTCCTCCTCTGAAAATAGTTCTGCTGTCCTTTCCAAATGGATCTATCCAAGAAAGATCGTGCTGCTTTGCCCCTTCCCCAGCTCCTTTGCAAGCAAGACAGGGGCTGTGGCTTTGGTCAGTGGTGTGCTTCGTGTTGGTGTGGCTTGCACATGTGTCCCTGTGATGGTCTGTGTTGGTTCGTCTTGCACCACAAAGCATGTTTCCAGCCAGCTGCACGTTGTCCCAGCTAATTCTGCCATGCATGTAATGGTTGCTGCACCCAGCTAAGAGATTTGGAGGATGAGGTGATGTGGAAAGGAGCTGTTGTTCTCTGTGGCCATACAGGCATCGTGTTAACAAGGTTTCAGCTGCAAACCCGTGTTACAAGAGGAGAAGAAGGAGGGAGTTTAGCCTCCCAGAGTTCAGAAGCCTCAGATATTGTACTGGCATCCTCATGAGGTCCTGTGGGAACATAGGGCTGCTTCCCTGTGTGCCGCACGATACCAAAACGAGTTGCAAAGACTTGAATTGCTTTAGGAGTGGGTTAGGAAGATCAACTGGAGAAATGCCAGGAAAACCAAACCCTGCTTCGTTTCCTTATTTTGAGTGGGAAAACCATATGTCCTTACAATTGGGCTGGCTGTCTGGTGTTTTACTCTGCTCAGGGTTGTTTTCCGTGCTGCTCATGGTAGATCACATCCTGGCTTTCGGGATGATTTACTCTTAAGCATCCTCTGGCCCTTTTCCTCCGTGAGATGACAACAGAGGCGTTGGGCTGCACCTTATGCACATTTCCAGCTTATAATGAAACCCCATTATAACTTCTTTGAGCTTTTCCCAGAAATCCATGGATTGCTGAAATTGGCCAGTAGTAAGCAGGGGACTCATTGCTCTAAAATCAGTGGAACTTTTTGAAATATATATGTATGTACACTCCTTAAAATACATATTATTTATACATAAATGCTTTAAAAATACATATGTATGTATGTATATAAAATCCATTAGGAAACAATACCTAGCACAGAACTGAAACACTACGGAGAGCATCTGCTTTTAAGTAGATAATTTGCGAAAAGCTTTTCCATGTGCACTAATGACTTTGACGATTGTTATGTAAATTGTTCATTAAATGGCTTTGGCACGGATTGCAGTATTTGTGAGTCAGCTGTGGTATTTCGCTGTTGCCTTGTGAATTATTTTGGGTGAACAATGCCACCAAACGAAATGGGTTCCTGGAATGTGGATGGCCAGTAAAAGTGGCATTTGTCGTCCCTTCTAAAAGTTCTTCAAAAAGCTTGTTTGTAGAATTTGTGGATGCGTTTTTTGGTTCTGCAGGACTCCAGGTCCTGCCTTAGTGGGTGTGAAAACTCCTGAAATTACCCACAGCATATTTGTGATGGCTGGGGATGCCAGTCAGCCCACATTTGGGTTGTGCTACTATTTAATAGTAGCTAATAGTGCAGTGGACTAGCTTGTAGAAAGTCTCCATTTAAGTGTTAGTAAATATTTTGAGGTTTAAGACAGCATTTATATTGTAGGACAGGCAACAACATAATTTTGAATTGGAGGCAGGGGATTTTTTAAGGAAAAAGTATAAAATCTGAGCTATGGATAATCCGTAGGGGCCCCAAAGTCAGTCAAAGCATGCACGAGGTCCTTGGCTTTAGTAGTTTATTTACTCGTTTAAGGAGGATTAGTTTAACTCTGCTCCCTAAGTATTGGGAAGAATCTGGCTAACTAAATCATTCAGCTGTGACACGTTAACTGCTGGGAGATAGAGGTAGGAGTGGGTTCAAATTCCCTGTAAAAACACACTGATATTTGGAATAAAGCTCACGAAAACAATGTGAAACTTTCCCTTTCATTTCATTCACTGATGGCATAGAATTACATTTTATTTTGAAGTATTTTAAAACAGAATTCTTCCTATTTACTTCAAGGAGCTCCTAACCAGGCCAGGGCCAGGACTTAATGTGGAATGAACTGCCTGGAAACGAGCACACTGTTGCTACTTCACGGCCTTTCTGCATGCTTGTTCTCCACAATTCTGGCCAAATAGTTATATATTTAAAACTGCACTTTGGTTTGCTTGTAGGCAGACTGTTGAAAGGCTGGTTTTCCTAGACAGCTTCAGTTTGTGCGCTCTTTCCAGTGTTGACGAAGAAAAAGTCTGCCTTGCCTCTAGAGCTAATCGTGGATTGTTATTGCATTGCGTGTGCACTTCTTGCTCTGCCTGCTGTGGTGCTGTGCATTCCCTCTTGCTCTGGAGCAGGGTTCAGAGCAGTATCCAAGGGGCTGGGTGTCAGGCTCAATTAACCACTGTTATTCTGCATCCGCATTAGCGAGGCCTCCTGCGTATCTCGTTTCCCAGTGCCAGATTGGAAATGTTCTAGTTGCCGATAAAAGCGTGGAGATCCTGGGATGATATTTATGAAGTGCTGACTTGGCCATCTGGACCTGTTCTGGCCTCAGTTGCAGGACTTAATTTTTCCCTTTGAACCCAGCAGGATTGCTTTTCCGTTGAAGGGGAGGACTTGAAGCACGACTTTGAGCGCCTACAGCTAGCTATGGAGATGGTGGGCTTCCTTCCCAAGACTCGCAGACAGTGAGTTTATTTTCTATGTTAACAGACTGTATTACTGAATTGTATTAATACCAAGTGCGTTGTACATTTATAATAGTAATATACAACATAAAAATGACCCCTGTAATCAGTGAGACAAGCTAACGTAAATGAGTAACCTTTCGGTGTGGTGAGAAGGGTTGATGACACACTGACTGTTTGTACAATAAGGGAATAATCACGATGGCAAGATATAAGCAAAATGTGCCCTTCGTTACTGTTATCAAGCTGTCTGTGCATATTGGCAAAAAGTTGGCATCTGGATGTGAACTGTTCAGAATAGTCATACTGTGCGTGTAATGAATCCAGATCCTAGTTTAATCAGAAAGCCAGGCATCAAATCTAATCCTTCTCCACGCAGTTGCCAGTTTTTAGACTCGCTTCCAGCAGCCCTTCATTCAGTGCAAATGCTGGTTGAAAACTTGGGCTTCTCGGTTGGATCGCAGCGCTGCCTTTTGCCAATGGCGAGGAATTGTGTGCTTTACATCCTGCACTAAACCACAGAGTAATTCCTGCACTGACTGGCTCCATTGTTGCAGAGGTTTGAGTAGGTCTGAATGAGCTTGACAAATATGTTGCTAAGAGTAGAAACAGGCTCTGAAAAAATAGGTATTGATAAGCAATCTTCGGGGGAGTATTGTTTTTGACATCATAAGCATTGCTGAAGGGCAAATCAGTAGCTGGAACGCAGTGAGAAAGCTGGTGCTTTTCTGAGTGAAATTGTTCAGACAATAATTTAATGAGCCTTTTCCTTTTTCTGAGATCCAGGAGGTTTATGTAGGAACAGGGAATTTTTGCTTTGTGCTAATGGCACTTGAAACCCTACTCATTGCCTAGAGGAGATGACATTTAAGCTACATCTACCATTACCTCCTGCTCTTTTAAGCATGGATTTTCTTTCTTCTTAACAAGTTTCTGAGCCAGCCAGCAGTTAGGAATCCTTTACAGTGAGGCATCATTTTGCTTTCTGCTCCAGTAAGAAATTGTTTCACCTACCTGAGAATCTTCTTCATAAGCTCATGCTTTATCCCAAGCATTAACAAATGGTGAAATCAATGCTGCTTTCTCTCTGTGCTTTCCACACGTATAGATAAACCCAAGTGTGTACACTCTTACTGTCACTCTGTATACATCAGCATATGCCCTTCTTTTTCCCATCTGTCTGCTTCATGTCAAGAGCACGCTGACATTCTCCTGACAGCATCACGGTGCATCGCTGCTCCCTGAACTGATGCCACTGCATGCACTCGAGACAGATGCTGCAGCAGTGAGGAGAGCAGCACAGAACTAAATTGCTTCCCATGTTCTGCCCTGGGCGACTCATTACACAGCAGGAATCAAGTTGCAGTGACAGGTTTTCTAAAGCCTGTGTGCAGCGCAGGGTTGCTTACAGTGAGGTAATTCAGTTGGCAGAGGAAAGCAGTGGGTAAGTGTCTGAGCAGAGTAGGATATCCGTGTAAATTCAGGATTTTGATTTACTGCATGATAACTTTTATTTTTCCCCCAGAGGGTGGGGAGGCAGTGGAACAGGTTGGGCTGTGGATGCCCCATCCCTGCAGGCATTCAAGGCCAGGCTGGATGTGGCTCTGGGCAGCCTGGGCTGCTGGTTGGTGACCTGCACACAGCAGGGGGTTGGAACTGGATGAGCACTGTGCTCCTTTTCAACCCAGGCCATACTGTAATTCTATGATAATGTAGGACAGGCTCAGAGGGGTGATGCTGTGTTGTCCAGACAGGCTGGTGGTGTGGCGAGGAATCAAATGCAATTTCAATGATTGTTAGGTCCCCAGAAGGACAAGTAAAATACATAGCTGAAGGCAGCTGTGATTTATCCTGAACTTCATTCTTTTTCTTGTTATATGGCCTGCCATTTTGTAACCATGGGTTTGATTATGTTGAACTTCAGGCTGGGAATCAGGTGACCTGAGTTATTTTTTCAAGTCCAAGAAAACCAGAATGGGATTCTTTTCAAAAAGGCTGAATCACTGCAAGTTTGGTACTTGACTAAATGAAGAAAAAAAAAAGCAAAACCAATTAAGTGAGTGCTTGTTTTAAGCCTAATTTTTGAGAATGTGTTGGCCTAAGAGAGAAGACTAGAAAATTAGAGGAATAAGTAGAATAGAAAGGTGGCACTTGGATGTCTGGAGGTCGAGGGGGCTGTGGAAAGGGCGGGATATGAAGTTGTGTAAGGCATGTACTGAGAACAGTGTTTGAATGAGTTTTTATCACCTGTCAGAGATCATGGTGATGGGATCCCGATCAATACCTGACCAAGATTTGCAGCCAGGTTTCACACTGAGCGTGTTGTTTGCTTTCTCAGTGGATTTAAGGAAAAACAGACAAAACCAACAACGTGAAAATGAGATCTGTCTCTCTCCTTTAGAATTTTCTCTCTCCTGTCTGCAATACTACATCTGGGTAACATCCGATACAAGAAGAAGACCTATCGGGATGACTCCATCGATATCTGTAACCCCGAAATACTGCCCATCGTGTCGGACCTGCTGGAGGTAAGCCTCTGCTTTCAGTCACTTAGCTTTGACAGCTAATGAGCTTTATTTGTATTTCTGGTTTCACTGAAGGGCAGATTGTCTTATGTTAATGTAGCCTGTTTGTGTTTTCCATTAAGGAGTTAGGAAGACTTTTTTTTTGAGGCCTTAATGTAAAGTTTTTTCTAGCTGGCCATCAGTTCCTGTATAATTAACTGAAAATAGTTAATAACTGAAAAATAGTTCTGAGATTACAACTAGAAAGATTGCAAGCAAGTTCTGGATGGGTCTAAAACCTGCCATTCCTCGTGGTATTTTCTTCAATTGCTCAGCAATTCAAGAGCTCCCTCACCAGAATTCTCCAATGCTGAAATCGGTTGCAGTAATTGTATATGAAACTACTGAAGGAACTGTAAGTCCATCAGCCCACTCTGCTGCTCCACGTAGTGGCAGTAGGGGGTTCTGAATGAAGTCGCTGTGTTTTGTTGCCTGATGTCCCTCTGCCAGCATCTGCAGAGGTGGTGGTGGATATGCTGCAGGTGCATTTCACTCTGTCTCTTTGGTGCTCAGTTATGGACTTGCATTTATCTAGATCTGGTTTGAACCTGTTGATGCCATCTGCTGTTTTACTGTGTAAGAGCCTGTACAGAGAGTGTTTTGTCCTCCCTGGATGACTGCTGTACCAGTGTCACTTGGACAGGTGTCCATGAGTTGGCACATCTCACCTGACCGATTCCCATCGCATCCAATCTTGCTGGAACAGAGGAGCGTGCTCCATGAGCCCAGCTGCCTTAGATTTCCTTCATCCCTCTGAAAAGTTTCTGGATAGTGTAGAAGGTTCACTTCTCCTATTTTCCTGCCAGAAGGTAATTTGTTGTCCTTCTGTGCACACGTGGTGCTCTCCCATTCCTTCCCTTGGGCAGCTGTTGTGCTGTCTTACTCCTTGAATTCAGAGGTTGGCGCACAGATTTTCATAGCACTTCATCAATGCTCTGAATGTAGGGAGGGGAAAGCTTCTGTAAAATACTGGTATAAGCAGCTGGATGCTCTTTGCATCTTGGACTTGCAGACTGCAGAAATAAACAGAAGGAAAATGTGAGTTTGGATAGAATGTCATTGATCTGACCCTGTTAAAAATGGCTGCGTTGGTCGCAGCAGGAATGCCAGGTCATTTAAGAAGTAATCACTTTTTGAGAAAGCTTTGAATAAGAGAGTGACTTGAAGATCTGACAAAGTTCCAGGCTTTGGGTCGTTGCCCTAGCTTTCTTCTGCAAACAAATTCTTCTGCAACATCTGTGTGCTGGAAGGTATTGGGGTGTTATTTGCACAAGCAGATGTGAAATCAAGCATCACTTGAGCCAGATGGACCCGACGGTGGCTTTGTGCCATGCACTGGGACAGCACCAGCATGGGTACCATGTTCACTTGTAGGTATGTAGAATATATAGAGGAAAAAGAACAAATAAATGAATGCATATTTTAACTTCTTGAAAGAACGCTTAGAAGCTGGTATACTGAGCAAAACAGTACTGCTGTTGCTTTCAGTAAGTCCTTTGTGAGCTAACTGATCATACACAGCACCAAAACTTCTTCATCAGGCACCAAGCAGTGCAGATGTCAGGCAGGATTTGTAGGAGGTGCTGCTGTGTTTTTTTGTAAGTGGTGCCACTTGTTCTTAAACCTGCATTTCTTTGGTTCTTTCCCTGTGGAAGTGCAGATGTTGCCCACAAGTGTAAACTTTCTGATGGATCCACGCCCCAGTCAGCTGAAACAGAGCAAGTACATTTTCAGGAGAAGCTTGGTGTCTGTGTCTGAAATGTTCGACCTCTGCAGACTTGAATTGCTCTTTTGCCATGTTGATTCAGTTCTGACCAAGGGGAGAACTGAAGGCTTCAGGCAGATGCATCTTCGTTGCGGGGCAGCCATTGCACTTACTTACTGAGCACTTTCCAGATTGAGTGGAATCTTGTTATCCAGAGACCAAAAATCTCAGTTGAAGCAATTTGATATTTTGCGTTTTGTCTCACTTGGATAATTATTTTTTTACTCTTTTTTTTTTGTGTGTGTGTTCACTGAAAATACACAGTTACTCTTCTCATGCCAGTGTTGCTGAAAAGATTTAAAAATTTGCTAATTCCTTCTCTACATCTTGGCATTACTTACCAAGACTGAAAAATCATCTCAATGAAACTAGGACTGGCTGACAAATACTTGAATTTCTTTCCATGCAGCCATTGGCTGCTCAGCAGGGCAGTGTGGAGCGTAGAAGAGGATGCAGCTATCCTTCCTGTGATCTGATACTTACAGGCAAGACATCTGGGGCTGTGGTGGTTTGTTCTTTTGTTTTTTCTTTGAAGTCTTGCTGGATTTGTTCATTCAGGGATTTGACTCGAAAAAGAGAAGGAAAAAATCCTCTTGGGTTTGGAAGAAGGGCAGCTGAATGGGGTGCATCTGAGAGCTGCCGAGAAGAAGGGATCCAGGGACCCAGAAGTACAGCAACAAGGGAGTGGTTTCCTTCCTGGGGAAAGGAACAGCCAGCCTGGCTGAAGTGAAGAAACTGAGCAAAATTAGGCAAATTTTCCCCCTCTAAAGGGGACGTCTGGCCCAAAGTATCATGAGCTTGCTGCTTTTCATTGCGAAGTGGAGCCTTTGAGCCTCTGAGGACAAATCTGGGGGAGTTTCAATAGTCAGTGCAAGAGCACCGAGTACCTTTTTCTTCCACTGAGGTACTTAGCCATCGTTTGCATGGAGAGATTTGTCTCCCTGTGAAATGAAGCTGACGCGCGGATTTCTGAAGAAATCAGGGAGGAGATGATGACCTGAGATGGATTTTATTTTTCTTCAATGCTGACAGCCCCTTCTAATACTCTTTGAGTTTATTAAAACATCCAGACCGGCGTTTGTTGAAAAAGCAAACTGCAGTGTAGGATTTTGGCCAGCCTCTGTGGATCATTGTTTCATTTACAGTAAGACCTCGATTCCTTTTCTCAGGCACAGACGTAGCGTGTGGATTATGTGAGGCTTTTGGCAGGTTTTTCTCGGCCTTTGTTTAAACTCTGCTGAAATATCAGCGCTGTGGCGTGATGTCAGTGCTGCCTGATGGATCGAGCAGACCTGGAAGGCTCCACAGGCAGCGAAATTATGGCAGGCAGAGGGAGAGATCCTCCTCAGAAACCAAGGATTGTGTAAAAGCCCTCCTGGGGAAAAACCTGGAAGCGCTCCTTCGTGGGTTTATTGGTATCCATCTCTTCTCTGCAGTCCAAACAGGAAAGTCCTCCCCTCCACGTGGCCGTGGGACTGCAGGGTTTTGTGTCTGGATGTGGAGCTCATCCCTGAGCCTATTTCAGCTCAAGGAGCTGTTTGTTCAGAGCTCGAAGCTGAGCTGAAGCTTTGCTGGTCAGCAGGGATCGTGCCTTTATTAAATGCAGTGCTACGTTTGTGACTTCCTAAGCATGATTAACAGAAATGATCTCCTAGAAATTATCTGCTGCCAGCTCACCATAAAGGAGACTATTTTTTCCCTTAGAAGAGCGAGAATACTTTTGTGTGTGTTTACTAGTGACGGAAATTATTTCCATGGCAAGCATCCAGTAGGGAAGGCAAGTTTTGTCTTTAGTTTTACATCCAGTTGTTAGGCTTAGATAACCAGCCTCAGTGCAGACAGTGGTAAATAAAAGTTATTTACCAAAGTAAGTTTTGCCATGTCTCTTTTGCACTGACCACGTTGGCTCTCGCACCCAGCATCCACAGGAAACTGCTAAAGCTTATTTTCTACCAAAAAATGATCTGTGTCAGCTCAGAAAAATCCCTCAGACAGCGTGCTCCTTGTGTGATGAGCATCTCAGCAAGCACTAGCTGGGGTGAAAAGGAGCTCCAGCCTTCCTTTCTGCACTTGCTCTCAGGTTGAAGGCTGGGTGTGAAGCTCTGAGCCAGGACTCCAGTCAGGTATCTTAGTTTGCTTCAAAGAAAGCCAGAATCAAAAGTTCAGCTCTTGCTCAAGAAGGAAGCCCATCCTGTCAGTGACTAAATTTAATTTCTCTTACTCCACATCAAGCAGCTTTTCAATAAGCTCTAAACATCACAGTTCAGTTCTCAAAGACAGAAGCAGCTAGTCTCCTGTGGACATGGCGAGCCAAATACCTCCATGCTGTGACCTTCAGTTAAAACTTGAATAGCTCAGTGGTGCTCGTCGTCAAGCATTGGCTTTCAGCAGTGGTGCAGCATGCAAACCATGCTCTGCTGGGCGTTAGCTGTGGGCAGGTCTGCAGGATTGTCTTCTGGAGCTGAACATCCCATCCTTGCCAAGTGTGTTTTTGTATGGGAGACCCCTGCAGGCGTGCGCACAGCAGGCATGGGGTGGAGGAAGCACATCTGCAGGTCTCGTCCAGCAAGAGAGCACAGGAAAGAGAAAGCTCTGGAGAGCAGGCAGGTGGGCAGGGGGAAGGTACGGGTAGCTGTGCAAACCATTCAAAACTGTTTGCTGACAAATGCAGGACTCAGAAGTGTTTAGGCTGTTTAGTCTGGGCACCAAGAGTTTTGCATAGGCCTGTTTTGATTCCTAAGCACCTGATACACTTTTGCCTACAGCTTTTTTCTTTAGTTTAAAAACCGCCAGCCTGCAGGCTCAGGGTTTGCAGCAGTCCTGCCTCGCTCCTACTTCAGCCCATTTGGACAAGGCAAAACTCACTTTTGTTCCAGGCTTTGCAATTGAGGGGTGTCAGCCGATGTCCTGCACTTGTGAGCTGCTGAAAAAATTGTCCACATGTGGCTTTTGGCTGCTTGAGCCAGCAAATGACCCCACTACATTTGCTGGGAGCATGAAGAGGGATTATTTTTTTTCCCCCCACACACAATTTGGAAAAGCAGGCTGGAAGCTTGAGGGTATTATTGAAGACAAGTGAGGTTCTCGAGGTGCTGATGTTTGATTTCTTATGATATGGGAGCTGCTGGTAGATGAGGGCTGCATACAGGTGAGATGGTGTTCATTGCTGCTGACGCTAGGGTGAGATGTTCTTGTTGCTGGGAGTTGCAGGAAAGGCCAGCTGTGTAAAAATGCATTGGAGTGTATTGGGGAAACTCCCGTGGCAGCAATTCTGGTGGAAAGAAATGAAAAATTTTGTTCAGAGTTGTGTCGTTATTGCAACGTTTTTTGAGATTTGGCTCAACTGGCTTATTTGCATTGCTCTCAGTTATAAATACTGGGTTAAACAAAGAAGTCAAAGTACATAAACTTCTGAACCTCCCATCATCCATCTAAAATCACAAACGGATGTACTAGAGACTAAGAGAGTAAAATATGGCCTAGAATGATTTCAGAAGCATGGATTTGGTGTTCCTAGCCTGCAGCAGGGATGCTATGAACAGCTATGGGTGCTGTAGCTGTTGGGTTATTGCGAGCAGCTTGTGCACCCTGTGCTGTGTCTGCAAGTCAGAGCCCTAAATCCTGCCTCAAAGATCTTCACCAAGGCAAAGAACTCCTTGTTTGACATTGAAATGTCACAAAGAGGAGTAAATGCCTCCAAGTGTTTAGGTCTTACTCATGTATGAGCATAACATCTTCTATTTTGGTAGAGAGGGAACGCTTTGGGATTTCTCCAAAGAAGATGAAAATAACAGGGACTGGAATCTTGCTGGACGGAGGCTTTCTCCTGATGGTTGGAGGCAGGGAGTCTTTAATTTGCTAGCCCTGCTCACCTATTTGCCCTCTTTGTGTTTATGCAACAGCTGATCTCTGCAAAGGGCTGATGAGCAAATGGTTGTCACCTGGTTGGGGACTGATTTCTTCAGGGAGTTCAGTATCAGGTGTGAATATCAGAGCAAATATCTGGTGCTTTCCTTGTCAGGTTTCATTCTCCTCCTAAGCTCCCCCCTTCTCTCAAATCGGAATGGAAAAAAAGCACACACAAAAGCAACAAACCCAACCCCACCCAGATATCTCTCTGAAACCACTGACACCATTTTGCTTGTTTGTAGACTAATTTGTATGATAACACCAGAAAGTTGAGAGGTTGGTTTTTTTTTTGCTAACAGGTGAAAAAAGTGTGAGAGGGAGGAGCTAGAGTGGGAACAAAGGCGAGCAATGGGAACTTGCTGGAACTGAGAAGGCTGAATGCAGAAAATCAGGTTCTCTTGAATGCTCTGTTGTTTTCTGATGCTGGATGTAGGGGCTGAATTGTCTTCTCCGAATATCTAGCTCATTGCTGTGCACTGAGCATTAACTTTGTAAGGGCTGGCAAAGCAAAGTGGATTTTAAAAAAAAATTAGTCTTGGGATAATTGTTAATATCAATGCTTTTTTTTTTGTTTTAGGTGAAAGAAGAGATGCTGTTTGAGGCCTTGGTTACCAGAAAGACAGTGACAGTAGGAGAAAAGCTGATCTTACCCTACAAACTGGCAGAGGTCTGTATGCTATGTTTAGTTCTAAGAGGAACTCTTGGCTTGGCTTTCAGTGCTCTGAAATGAGACTGAAATGCACACTTAACCCTGGTGGGGTTGCTTTTAGCTTTTATTTATTTGTGTGAAACTAAACAAACGTAGGAGAAACTGATGTGCGTGAAGCTGGAAAACGGTTGGCTTTACCTTCTGCTCTTGAAAAGCAGGTTTGCATGTTACTCTGTGATGGTGTTTGAGTATTTTAATGGCTTAACAGTTGTTAAATGTTGTGCAGAGCGCAACCATGCCTCACTGAACGCACGTGATGCACGTTAAGTAGCAGTCTCCATACATGCCTACGCTGTAGCACTGATTCATCCCACAACAGAGCCGTGATCTCAGAGCTCCAGGAAGTTTTTGGCGTGGTTCTGAAGTGCCCCTGTTAGTCATGGTTCCTGTATGGGAGGAGCTGGAGGTCTTCTGTAGAAAACTCCTGTTTCAGTTCCTGGGCCCTTTACAGGATGCTTCGGAGACTGCATGGCTCTGTCAGCATCTCAGCTTGTCCCGAGTGTTTTCCGTGTTGCTGCTGGCCTTGGGGATGGCACTGCATGAAGTGCAAATTCTTTATTATGGTCTGTCTGAGGTTACAATGTCAGCAAACATGTGTTTTCCCCTGAACATGTGGTTTCCAGGAATTCTGAATTACATTCTGTGGTTGTTAAATAGAAATACCTCTGTTTTCTTCTCAAATGTTCCCAAGTATGTAAATGCTGCTGTGCTGCAAAACATATTTTGGATGTTTCTGAGTCTCCTGTTGTATTCCTCCATTTAAGAGCACAGAGCATGCTTGATGAGAATGCACAGCATCTTGAGCAACGTCCCCCAGAGCAGTCAGCTGTGTTACAAATAGGTAAACAAAGTGCTGTCATTAGAATGGACTGTAGATATTTTTGTTTCTTTTTTTTCTTCCCAGCATAAAATACACATTTTCCATTTTTGAGTTTGTGTGCTCAAGTTCAGTAACTGAAATAAAACTTTCATCTTCAAAGTCTTTGAACGAGACTTGAATCTCTCCCAGCAAAAGGCAGTGTGCTTCAGTCACACCTTTGTGATGAGTGTGCAGTGGAGGTGATGTCTGCACTTTTTTCTGATGTTTTATGCACAGACTGAGGAAATTGCTAGAATAGTTTAAAGCATTTCTATTCCTTCCCTTTTGCTGGAGCTTTTTTCCCACCAGCAGTGCTGACGGAGCAAACTCTTTCAACCACTTCACTGCCAAACTTGGCAAGTTGGATTAAACAGTTCCTTCTAATATGTTAAACTGTCTAAAGTCTGATCGACGTGCTCTGTTGCTACCAGAGATAGCTGAGTGTGAACTGCTGAAAAGCTTTCCAAAATGTTCTTGGTGATGTTGCTGCCTGTAGATCTCAGATGTGTTCGTTGGTAAAGGTTTGTCACCAATATCTGGTAAAAGAAATGAAGAATCAGGGTGTGGTGAGGGGAAGCCAGAGGAGCATCAGGCTGCAGTGGCTCACTGTGTGATCATGCACTCTGATGTAATCTCCATGACCTAATCATTCTGTAAGGAGCTGCAAATTGAGTCAGGAAAAGTGGGCATTTTCTGTCTGCTGTTCTTACAGTGTTAGAATCGTGGAATCACAGAATGGCCTGGGTTGCTCATCCAGTTTCAACCCCCTGCTATGTGCAGGGTCGCCAGCCACCAGCCCAGGCTGCCCAGAGCCACATCCAGCCTGGCCTTGAATGTGACTGCTGGATTTTATTTGACAGGGATTCATGGAGGGAATCAGGAGGTTGGTTATTTTTAGGTGTTTTACAAATTGGATCCAAGGAATTGGAGGTTTTAAGGGTTTGCAGACACGACTGCCCCGCCACAACTCATAGCTGCCCTTCCCGATAAGGGAATGATGTGTATAGCAGCTGCTTGATTTTCCAGATGCTAAAATGCTCGATGCCTTTTTCAGGTTGTTGATAGACCGAAAGTTTCAGTGGAATTTGTCTGGAAAAGGCCACGCTGCAGTGGCTCTCTAAAGAGGATTGTAAAAACTTTAGTTTGGCGTAGATTTGCTCTTTTACACCATCAAGAAGAGCAGCTTGCATCTACCAAGTGCCTTTGCAAGGCTTTGAGCAATTTTATGCACGCAGCCTGCACCCAGATGTCTGGGCAGCGCGTCAGTTACTAAAAGAAGTGCAAAAATTGAGCAAAAACTAGGCTGAAAAAGGGGCTCTGAGGCCTACAAGCTCATTTCTTAAACGTTTTGTCTAAACTGTGAGTGGGAATAGTGAAGTTTGGGGGTCTGCAGGTAGCATTGTGGATTGTCAGTGGTGAGATTGCTTGGCAGAGCAAGAGAGCCTGCACTGTGGACAAGGCACCTGAGAGACTTCAGGTTCTTGATGGGCTTCTGGTTATTTGAGAGGAGTTGCAAGTAGGAGCTGTAATCTGATATAAGCACTTTTCAGACACAGCCTTGAGATCTTAAGTTTTGAATGGGTTCCTTTCTCAAAATGAGCTTTGATGAGGTTCCCACTTGCATCCCTTCCAGGTGCAGGAATTGCTTCTCTTGGAGCTCTGCACGGGGGCTGTTTGCTGTCCTCTTTCATCAAACAACATTGGAATATACATGGGTGGGAACTCAGCATGGGAGATAGCTCAGGTGAAATGGCCAATGCTCTCTGTGTGTTCACAGCCTGGCTGCTGCAAGGTCCATAATCTTGTGGTCCTGCCACAGCAATTTCTGCCCTTCCTTTCTTTAGAAGTTTGGAAGCATCAGAGCTGAGATTGGACTTCGTTGCACCAAGTGAAGGCTTTTCTCTTCAGTTTTCCTGAGCTGTAGCCCCACAAGCACACAAAGAGGATGCCTGTGTTGGATTTGCAGCAATACTGCATTCCTCTCCATCTGCATGCTTGTTGGCTGCGCTGTTATTGTACGCTGATTAGAAACATTGTTGTGTGGTTTGGGGCTTTTTTGGGAACTGTGGTTTGAGCACTTGGCAGTTCCTTGTTTGAAACGTTCTCCTTCATAATTGTTCTAAATTTAAGTCGGGCTCTTCTCGTGTATCTGTTCATCTCTGCAATGGTTGAAGTAAGAGGAGATACTTTATTCTGGCATCTCTCGGTGCTTGGGTGAAACGTATTGCAAAATGTCCTTGAGCAGCAGTCGTGATGACAACTCATCCCAGCAGCCTGAAGCTCGTGGTGTTGAGGATGACAGCTGCAACTGCTTGTGTTTATTCACATTGTCCTTCTGTATTACAACACTTCTTGCTGGCTTCGTTCCGCTTTCCAGTTTGGGCAGAAATGCTGGCTTTGTCAAACTCTGTGCTTCTTTCGGTACGGTGGGTGGCTTTGGGGGGTCTCAATCAGGTTAACATACAGCTGTTGAGCTCCAGTAGGAAGGTAAGACTCAGCCAAACAGCAGGAGCACTGCCTCCTGCGTCCCAGCAGCTGCTGATGCTGTCACCTTCTGCTGATCAAGTTCTTCCCAACGCACAGAGGTTGCATTTTATGTGTTTTACTTATTTCACCCACGCAGACAGAAGATGTGAGGTAGCAGCGTGGGCTCTTGCAGGGCTGCAGTCGGGAGCAGACATTCATGAGCAGAGTTCCCAGCTCAAGGTGCAGCTTGTTGCTTCATTTGTAATCAGTGCCTGTCCTCAGGGTATTACAATGAAAAATTGACACTGCTCTGTAGTTGCAATTCTTTTTTTGATGGCAATCGTGGGCTCGATTGCACGCCCTGTGTGAGAGTTGCCTGTACACACTGAGTCTGCTTTTCAGATGGCTGCTGAAATTCAAATGAGCGAGGACACCGCAGCCATAAATAATGCTTATATTTACCTCTGGCAGCTGCCTCTTATCTTCAGACCCACACTGGCTTGTCTGCTGTGGAGTTGCCTCCTGGAACCGCTCATTTTTCCCTTTATAGCAGCTGGATGGTATTTTAATGCAGTGTTTGAAACGGCTGCGTAATTTGGTGTAGCGCTAAGGTTCAGAAGCTTTGTGCTGCAGATCAACTCGGGGAAGGCTGCGCAGACATGAAAGGCTGCAGTTCTGTTCAGAGGTCAAGATTCATTGCCCAGAGCAGCCGTGAGTGTCTTTGTCAGGAGCCCGGCTGTGTATTAAGGTAACCAGCAGCAGTTAATGGATTTCCAGAGAAATCACGGTGTGTCTGCGTGGTGTGAGTGCTGTCTGATAACAGGGAGCCGGCCAGTTCCACTTCAGTGAGCAAACAGCGTGCAGCAATGAGGATCCTTTGGAAGGAGAAGATTTGGCCTCAGGAGCAGGAGAGCAGTCGGTGATTTCTCAGCTGATTGGAGTATTTTGCTTCGTGCCTGCCTTGCACGTGGGCATTCCTGCAGCCAGTGTTGTCCTGCCTAGCATGGTGAACTGCGACAGGCGCATAAACGAGATAAAGAAAAACGGGGTTTTAATGGTAGAAGAATCTTATGAGTGTTCCTGCACTCCTCAGCTCCACCTTTTATTGTTACATGCATTTCTGCAGTCTTCCCTGTGAGGTCAGAAAGCATTCGTAGGCTTCATTTCAGGTACCCAAACAAAACCAACCCCCAGACCTATTGAGTGCTGAGCAGCTTGGCTAGTATGTGGTAGGAAACGTGTGGCAGGAGCAGAGCACTTTAATCAAAGCTTTGTGGACAACTCAGGGGCTGTTAACTACAAACAAAATCTTTGTTTTTCCTGAGATATGTAATCTGAGCATCATCTTAAGCTTAATCTGGACAAGGACCTGCCTTTCTGGGCCACATCTGTCTTCCTGCTTCTGTCTAAATAATGCAGAGAATTCAGATTTTTTCCATTGCTGCTTACTGCAGGGCCCTCCCTGAGCATTACTGTACACCCTAAGATAACCATTTACCTTTCTGAAGTCCATCTCAACTGATGCTTCTCTCTCCAATTGACCTTTGCATTGCTCAGCTTGTTCCCCTGCACATGACAGCAGAGCTGAGCCCTGGGTCCAGCAAGTCACCCATCCCCACCTGGTTTCCGTCCC